GGCGTGAAGAGCTTCTATAAGGTGATGGTCACATGCTTCTGGAGGAGAATGGCAGGCCTCGTGTGCATGTCCCATCACCGCAGAGCAGGGGAAGCCACTCACAGAGCTCCAGGAAGGTGTCCTTCTTCATCCTAAAGTTCTGGGTCCATTGTTGGTCTCCCCAGTGCTCCAGGACAATGTGGTCCCATCAGTCAGTGCTGTTGGGGTAAGTGGAAGGACATGAGAGAGGGCTGGTGTCCAGGTTCTGAAGGTGCTCCTCCACATACCCCAGCAGGGTCTGGAAGAAGGTCTGGGGGTTGGGTTGCTGTAGATCATGTGAGGCAGCCTGCAAAAAGTGCAGCCAAGCTGGCAGCAACATGTCCAAAAGAAGCACCAGAGTGCCCAGGGGCAGCTCTGGCTCCATGTTGCAGAGTGCTGTGGTGTCCCGAGTGAGGACAATCAGAGCACGCAGAGACAAAATGCTTTGCTGTCCCTCATTGAGGTAGACAAGCAAGCAGGGAAACCTGAGAACTGGCTGTCCGGGGAGGTTCCTTTAAGTACAGACCTCAGCCTCAGGCAGCAGCCCCACATGGTAAGTCCTGACCTGGTGCCCTGCTGGAACTAGTTCCGGCCAGCCTTAAATGTGATTCAGAGTCCACTCAGTGTGGATGTGCTATTTCGAAATAGCAAAATGCTATTTCAAAATGTATTTTGTGTGTAGACAAAGTAAACTATTTTGAAATAAGATATTTTGAAATAACACTGTAGTGTAGACATACCCTTTCATATTATGGAAAGACTTTCTCCATTACCAATACACTACCTTCAATGAAGCACCCATGTCTCCCAAAAGTGGAAGTGCAATCTGAAATAAAACACATGCACATACTTAAGAAATATTTAATATGCTTTATATACCTGATCTTTTTAAATATTTGGCCCACGGTTCTCATATGTATTAATGGTATAAAGAGTGTATATCATTATGCAAATGAGTAAGGCTTAAAGAGTTTAAAGAGAAGCTAGATAATTTCATGGAGGTTAGGTCCATAAAAGGCTATTAGCCAGGGGATAAAATGGTGTCCTTGGCCTCTGTTTCTCAGAGGCTGGAGAGAGATGGCAGGAGACAAATCGCTCGATCATTGTCTTCGGTCCACCCTCTCTGGGGCACCTGGTGCTGGCCACTGTCGGTAGACAGGATACTGGGCTAGAAGGACCTTTGGTCTGACCCAGTACAGCCGTTCTTATGTTCTTATGTTCTTATGTTCTCCATTGGTTTTATTATGATATCTTTAAAGAAAAATAAAGAGCATTCATGGTGAAAAATGTATTAGATACACTGACAAATGTGGTGTGCACTTGTCTTCAATGTAACCAGTTTCAAATGTTCACATTTTTAAAGCTTCCGAGCCAGGAAAACAGAAGTTTCAAAACGGAGTCTTCAGTACATTTGGAAAATTGATCTTTGCTCACAGTGGAGGTCAGCAACCTGTGCAATGGAACCACTGCTGACCATGGCTTAACAGCTAGTGTAGAGAAGGACATACCACAGTCAGCATGGCTTCACAAACTCTGGAAAATCTGCCAAGGACGTTCTTAGAGGAGGATTAGTCTACAACATGGCAGGGTTTAAGCACTCACCAAGAAGACTGCTCTTATAGAGAAGAGGCTGAATTCACATCTTGGTAAGCAGCAGGGATTTGGCTGAAAGACACTATATGGTTTCCCAGCACGGAAGCGTGGCTTTTTGGATAGCCATGTCTTTTTTGTTTTATGATATATCTCAAATGAAAACTAAGAAGCTATTTGATATTGCAGTAGTTATCTACATTAAGAGAATCATCATTATATCTCACCTGTTAACTGAAACTAAGCCTTTCTAAGATTCTGGTTATATTGTAATAGATTTTGGTCCGAACCCTTAGGAAAGTCAAAATCATATAATTCTGAACCACAAGCAAGGTTAATGAGTGACTAAAGGGTTTTGCTTTGCAGAAGAACAAGTTGCAAGACCTACTCTAGGAATTCTGAGAGCTTTATTTATCTTTTTAAATGCCAATATCAGCATTTGTTTTAAACTCAAAATTAAGCTTATGTAGTTTCAGCCTTGACAAACATGTTAAAGGACTTAAACTCATTTCAGATGTCTGTTCATCTTAGCTGTTCATCTTAGCTTAATTGTTTTGTGAGTACTTATGAAAGTTAGTTCATGTTAAGGCAGGGGTGCATAATAAGTGGCCCACGAGCCTGAAGTGGTTTGCCAGGGTTGGCTCCTGCAGGCTGCCAGACACTTCATATACCTGAACTTCCACAGGTACAGCCACTTGTAGCTCCCATTGTCCTCAGTTTGCCATTCGCAGCTAATGGGAGCTGTGGGAAGCAGCACAGGCTGGGCCATCACTTCCCGCAGCTCCCATTAGCTGGCAATGATGAGCTGCAGCTAACAGGAACTGTGAGCAGCCAGGCCTGTAGATGCTCAGTTAAATGAAGAATCTGGCAGCCTTCCCAGGGTTAAACTTGGTGAACCCCAGGTAAGAGCAAAATCAGAATCTTACAATTGTTCCTTAGTTTTGTATTTAATAAGGAAACAAACTGCATTCCTTGAAAATGGATTCAGACATGGTAAGTCAAGTTGCAGCTATTAAACTATTAGCTTTAACTATAACAGCTAAATCATAACTTCCTGAAAACAAACATTTATCATGAAAGACCTGAAATAACTATAAGAAGTCAGTAGGCAGTCGACTGAATAAAGTTTGCTTGGCCTACTGGTATCTTTCTGTTTTAAAATACTAGCATCCCAGCAATATAAATCAAGCATAGTTGGTATACATACTGGGTCACCTGGAGGGCCTGGAAGTCCTGGCTTCCCATCTACTCCTGGAGCACCCTAAAAAAAAGGCCATTGCTGTTAAAATGTCAGTCACTGATAAGTGGCATATATATCTATATAGTATTATAAATAGAACTGTTACTTACATCAACACCTGGGGTACCTGGAGTTCCAGGTAATCCAGGAGGTCCTCTAGGCCCCTAACATACAGAACAGTTATTTAAGATGTGATTCAAGAGACTGTTTAATGGAATATATGTTAAGTTAAAATAATTTTTCCACATTATACCTGGGGACCTGGTTCCCCAAATGGACCTTTAGGACCCTGTAAAAAAAGCCAAATGTAAAGTTAGATAACAGAAGCAATACTTTTAAAGCAGCAGTGAGCATGTTCCAAACATACTGAATGTGGATTTTTGGTTTAGTGCATCTTAGAAGGGCCTGCTGAAAGCTCTGGTTACAAATCTGGACCCAATTTTGCTGAAGTTCAAGGGTGACTGGATTCAGTATTTTGGTTAAGAACCATTTCAAATGGAAAGTAAGGCTACTGAGTAACTTAACTACACAGCTATGTTATGAAATGGGCTATTTAGTTAGCATGAGATTTACAGAGAAAACTGAAATTTATTCACTGCAAAATCTTTATAAATTGTAGGGTGCCCACGAATCAATGTAAACTTTTTTTAAAAATTATATAACGTTAATTTGTTTAAAATGGTAAAGACTTGCTTAAAATTTATATTTGAATTTACAGCTAGCTGCCTCAAGCATTATGAATTCTAATACTTATTCATTTCAATAAACTGAAAAGTTCAGTGTAATATGAATAAGGATATTGCCTTATTGATCACAGTAGAATTTATGAGCCATCTACTCCCTATATTATTGAACACTGAAGAGCACTAGACACAGAAAGATTATAGTTTGGATTACAGATCAAATGTTGGCATTATCTAAGACTTCGTTCTTTTAAGGCCAAATCTTTACCAGCTTTCTCACTTGCAGAGGGTTTCATGGGTCATGGAGGGGGCACACAGGGGTCCTGATCACTGTAGACCTATTCTCTAGAGGGGCTAATACAATAGTGAGAATGTATGAGTAAGTGAAGAATGACAATGTAAATGTTCAAAGAGAAATCCTTCACATGGTGAACATGGACAGCAACCTCAAGGAATCCAGTGCAGCATTGAATCTCTCTTGAAGAGGAATGTGTCCTCCAGTCCACACTATAACAGATTCCTTTTGTACAACACTTCTTTACACAGCCTTGGCAAAGGATATGTTACTTGGTATTGCAACCTTGGAAAATTCTAGGGCCATAAATGTTTTACATTATCAGCGAAAGCTGGGATAAACATACATTACTGAAATGAAATTAATAATTATCTTACTCTTGTGGAGAAAGCTACATTCTAAAGAAAAAAACACTGATATTTTCTGGTGTCATATTTTTCAAAAATATGTTCTTTTTAATTTGGGGAAATATCTGAAGAAGCTCCTGCAAGAATTGAGACTTCAAAAAATGGGCCGAATACTGAAGTAATAAGTGTCACAAAAATGCAGTGTAAAGAACAAGAATGAAGTAGCATTTTGAAAAGTGTGCCGCTGATGGTATTCTGCTGCAGCGATTTACTCTGATTACTTTGGATACATAGTTTTTTCCTTGTTTCATATTTAAAATATACATGGTAAAATATCTGGATGTTGTTGCTTCTGGGTGCAAAGCTTAGTTTTGCAGCACTAGCTAGAAACTCTTCACCCACAAGCAATACTCAATATTCTGGTTCCTCCCCAAGGCAGAGTACCTGACTCAGCTTCTCTCACTGTACAGGGAATGGGGAATGACATAAAGAAGGGGACTCTGTTTATTGACTGACAGCTAGGGATGCTTTACGGGGCCTGTGTCTCTTCCCATGTGCTGGTGCTGGAACCAGAATCATCAGAGAACTTTATAATAGCAGTCAGCCAGAAAAAAAGCTATCAGCTATAACAACAAAGTGCAGTTAATGTGGGATGGTTCATATCACACGTTCTTTCAACTTTCCCATCCCTCACAAGTCAAGATCTAGAGAGACTAACAGCAAGACCTAGACATTATACCATGATTTCAGGGGGGAAGGAACTCAGGGTATGTCTACACTTGCAGCCTAATTCGAAATAGGGCTGCAAATGTAGGCATTCGAAATTGCAAATCAAGCCCGGGACTTAAATATCGCACACTTGATTTGCATCTTCCTGGCTGGGCGCCACTTTTGAAATTGACAAGACCGGACTAACTGCCCGCGTGTACATGTGGCAGTGAAATGGCTGTTCGAAATAAAGCCCTATTTCGAAGAACCTGTTATTCCTCCAGCAATGAGGTTTAACAGGTAGTTCGATTAGGGCTTTATTTCGAATGGCCATTTCACTGCTGCATATACACATGGGCAGTTAGTCCGGTCTTGTCAATTTAAAAAAATGGTGCACGGCTGGGAAGATGCAAATCAAGCATGAGATATTTAAATCCCAGGCTTGATTTGCAATTTCGAATGCCTACATTTGCAGCCCTATTTTGAATTAGGCTGCAAGTGTAGACATACCTTCAGGGTGCATCTACACTGCACCCTTACCTCAAAATAAGCTTAGCAAATTACGCTACACAAATTGTGTAGCTTATTTTGAGGTAATTTTGAAATAAAGTGCTATTCCAAAATGTCCCTTAACCTTTGTGGAATGAGGGTTACAGGGATGCCAGAATAGCGCACCCATTATTTCGAAATCTATTTTGAAATAAGGTGCTGCTTTAAAGATGCAGAATAGCTATTTCAGGATACTTCTGCAATGTAGACGTGGCCACAGAGCAGCACAGAACTCATATCAGGAATATCTAATCTGAAACATGTTATATGAACCTGTTAATTACATAGATTTCTCAATAATAACTACAATGAAACTCTCATTTGCTGTCTGCAATACTTACAGGGGGTCCTTGAATTCCTATTCCGAGTGGCCCTATCTCTCCAGGAGACCCTTGTAGGCCAGGAAATCCTCTTTCACCCTGATAAGATTACAAAACTTTGTTTAATCTTTAAAAACAGAAATTAGTCATTTTATTTATGTCTCTTAGAGACAGGAACTGTGATAATTTTTGTATACCTTAGGCCCTCTTGGACCCGGGGTCCCAGGAGTGCCAGCTGGACCCTAAAAAACAATAATTCTATCTTGAAATTACTGTCTGATTGAATTGTATTGTCAGAGGTATCATAAATAAAAATTATCTAGCTGCACTTTCATTATTAGTGCCACAGCCTGGAGGATTATTGAACAGGCACTTGCATTAACAACAACATAACTTTACTTTCTCTGTACTTCCTTTCTCTGTACAGGCATAACATAGACTTTGTTTTCAAAAGTATATTACTTCTGCTATATGAGTAATTTTCAGTAATGCTATAAGTGCTACATGGAAATAAGCCATGAAAGCCCAGAGAATGAGTACTTACTGGTTTCCCAGGCAGACTTGGTCCAGGGGGTCCTATCTCACCTTTTGGACCTGGATGTCCAGGAGGCCCTATAATTCCTCCATAATCACCCTGTGGAATAGATATAAACCACTAATTGAACTGTTAGTGTTTTCTTTCAGGAAAATTAACATTAAGGTACATCTTGGTTATCATGACTATCTTCCATGGTAGTTCTCTATTAGGGTATGTCTACACTTGTACCCTCTTTCAAGAGAGGGATGCAAATGAATGCATTCAAAACAGCAAATGAAGCTGGGATTATATCCCGTGCTTCATTTGCATATTTGTGTTATGGCGCTATTTCTAAATAGTGCTATTTCTAAATAATAGACACTGTTAAGATGTGGTTATTTCGAAAAAAAACCCTTTCTCTCAAAATAACTGGTAAGTCTATTGTATGAGGAATATGGGTTATTTCTCCCAAAATAACTGGTAAGTCTATTGTATGAGGAATATGGGTTATTTTGAGAGGTTTTTCTCTCAAAATAACCGCGTCTTAACAGCATCTGTTATTTTGAAATAGTGCTATTTCAAAATAGCGCCATAACGTGATTATGCAAATGAAGTGCGGGATATTTAAATCTTGGCTTCATTTGCAGTTTTACATGTCTTCATTTGCATCCTTCTCTCGAAAGAGGGTGCAAGTAAAGACATACCTTTGCTTGTTAATTCTAGGTATTGGGAACAAATTTAAACAGCCCTATTTCAGATTGCACCACTGTTGTTACAGCATACCTAGAAATCCAAGACATGACTCCAGTTTCATAAAACAAAACCAACCTTTAAAACATTACTTTTAATGCCAATCTGGCTCTACAGTCTAGAGAAGTGTTTACTGTACTGCTAGCAGAGACTTTTCACAGTAAATCGGATATGCCAACACTTATTCTACAGAGTAGCAAGTCTTACGACAGAGTGTTTGGAAGTACTGACATGCCTTGAAATCTGTATATATATTCCCTAAAAATGTTATGCAGGTAAGTATGCAAGGTAAACAAACCAACCAACCAACCAACCAACAAACCATAAGAACAAGGGATTTAGGGATTTGCTATATCAGAAAACACCAAGTGTCCATCTAACCTAGTTAATAACCCCATTCTCCCAGGGAATATCTACACTACAGAGTTTTTTTTTAGGAAAAACAGCCATTTTTCCAAAAAAACTTCTATTATATCCACACTGCAATCACGTTCTTCTGAAAGAAAATAGAAAGAACAGAGGAGTTTTTCCAACATTGGTGATCCTCATTCTATGAGGAAGAAGCCTTTTTCCAAAAGAGCTCTTTTGGAAAAAGGCGTGTGGACAGAGAAGAGGGAGTTCTTTCAGAAGAAGAGGAAAAAGGAGAAAGCACAGGTGCCCTGGTGGTCATTCCGTCCATAGTAATCACAGCTGAAATGTGAGACAGCATCCATTCAGTGTGAACGCTATCTTTTGAAAAAACAGATCGCTTTTTTGATGTGCTTTTGCTGTGTGGACACTCTCTTTTGGAAGAAGTTTTTCAGAAGATCTCTTCTGGAAAAGCTTCTTCTGAAAGAAGCCTGCAGTCTAGACATAGCCCAGGTTGCTAAGGCTTGCAATGCTGTTACCATACCTACACTTCTTTGCCCCTTATTTTCTAATACCCAGACTATCTCTAAATCCTGCCAGGTATTCCTTTACAGCATTTCCATAGTACATTCATTCCTCTCCATCCTTATAGCAAAAACCTTGGTCTTTACCTTAGCCATATCTTATCTCAACTACTGAAATTTCTTCTTTTTACTTTGAAAGCTCTGCTCAGCTGTACTCCTGCCTACATTTTCCCTATCTTTCTTATTTTAATTCTACACTTTATGAATATAGCATTTCTCTGGCTAGCCCAACTCCTTCTACCACAAGTGACTTCCTTCATCCTGTCCCATTGTGCAACCTTATGCTTCTTCCTGTTTCACAAGATTAGCTTCTCTAGGTCTGTGCTCCAATGCTGATCTCTATTTCTGCTTTCTTAACTGCTTGCACCCACAAACTACTAAGATACTTCACTGGTTTTCTTTAAAAAACAAACTCCAAGAAGTTTAAATGCAATAACTTATCTCAGAACTCACATTCTCCCTATATAATTATCCCCTTGTCCCCATACGTGCCAGCACATATACACAGTTAACTGTTGCTATTCTGTAGTACTGGTATGTCTAACCAGGCTCTCTCAGAGAATGACAGAGGCCTAGGCCACTTTCAATTTAGAGGCCCTAGCACAGCCCCAGCCTCAGACCCCCGATGTATCTAATTTCTCATCCACAGGGTCATACTAAAACCAAAAGAATACATGGAAATGAACACTGGAGACACTTATTTATTAACAACTAAGTCATTATACCAATAGCATGTATATTAAATGTAAGTTTAATTGTGAATTTCCACTGCAAGCAAAACTCTTCATTTTAGGAATGCTTTTCTGGCTTTGCTATGTGCAAATTCATTTATAATTGCAGAAAAATCTAATTTACACTATGTGCAAACTCATTTATAATTGCAGAAAAATCTAATTTACATGCAGCATCAGTGTCAATGTTAAGCACTGCAAGCCCATCCATACACCATTGTCCTATTGTAGAACAATGACAGTTCCTTACTTGTTTTGACATGTTGAATGTGCATTCACCTGAAGCCACTGATGCAGGGAGATGGATAAATACGTAATGTAATTGTGATATTAGAAAATACAGAAGACAGATATATTTCTTGAAGCAGTTTTTTTGGCTTGCAGTCTGATTTAAAATTTGTTGAATTTATTTGTTTCAGGAAGATGATCTCGTCACAGAGATCTTTTGAAATTTTGTTGTTGTATTTTTGTTGACACTGTCCAGCTGCTGAATCTTCATCACTTAGTTCTCTAAACTCCCAAAGGATTCCAAAAACTATACAAATTTGTTGGAGTGATTCAAATCGATATGTAAAACCAGATTTGAGGGCGTCAATAATAAAAAAAACCCCAAACAAACCATTGAATCAATGGTGCCTTTCTGCATCAGATTGAGATATTAGGCTGCGATAAGTGGAAAAATCAGGTAAAATGTCAATAACCTGTGCAACTGATTTGGATTCTGAAAGGATTGTGTCCCATTGATCACAAGTCTTTTGAAAATCTTTAAGAAGTCATTCAACATCTCAACATCTAATATAGCATTGCGTACTTCAATTACAAGATTAGTTTTGTGGATCATTTTTAGCAGCTTCACCCACATGGATGACATTAAAATGCATTCGAATTTGTATGTATACTGTTGAATTGACTTAAGGTCAGTGTGAACCTGTGCTGTGAGAGTAAGAGATTCAAGCTCATTTAAAGCTTTTCTCACAGAGTCCAAATGTTGTGCAACAGATTTAATGCCATTAATTTGTGCTGACCATCTCGTTGTTGACATGCCATGAAGGGAAACAGGCAGATGCTGATTCAGAATTTCCCACTTTCAAGGACTGATACTGAAGAAGTTATACAATTGCTGGATTGTTCCAATTGCTTCCTTGCATAATTCAGAGCAATCAGTGCAAACAAGATTTAGTGTGTGGTTGCCACAATTGGAGAAAATACAGTTTGGATTTTGTTCAAGAAGGACTGCTTGTACTCCTTTATATTTCCCAGCCATATCGGACCCATTGTCATAGCTTTGGCCAATGCAGACTTGAAAATTTAATTTGAAGCGTTCCAGAATTTCTAATATATGAGCAGCAATTTCTTTTCCATTTTTTATGAAGTTATTGAACAAAATGAATTGTTCTTCAATTGAAACCTTTGAACTTCTGCAATGTTAACATACCAAACAATGAAGGTTGCATGTACCTTATGAGAACAGTCTGGAGTTGCATCAATAATAACTGAAAAGTACTTCACATGTCGTATCTCTTCAAGAATTGCTGTTTGCACAAACATCCCACACAGCTTGATAAACTCATTTTGTGTTCTGTTATACAAGTAATGGACTTGCATGCGTTTTCCGCTCACTTGTGATTTTCAAACACGCTTAATATGGCCTGATAAAAGTGTGTCATACTTGCTAAGAAGGTCAAGTATACCAAGAAAGTTTCTGTTTGTAGGGTCACTGATACATTGACTAAAACCAAAGAAAGCCAATCCCTGTTCAGAAAGAAAAAGAATGACATTCAACAGATGCTCAAGGAGTTTTTTTTCCAGTTATCAGTTTCTGTGTTTATTTCACTCAGGATTCAGTTTTCAATTGAACTCTCAGCTAGTGCTGCTCTATTAGCTGATTTCCATGTAACAAAGTTATCTTTATGCGATACTGAAGTTTCATGTGCAGGTATTAGGTCTTTCAACTTCCTCCAATCTCTACTTATTCTCCATCTGGATGGATCAGACAGTGCTGATGCATTTGAAGTATTACTGTTAAAAATAAAACAGAGTACCCAATTCGGAGACTGCTTTACCATGCTCCAGCAGAGACAGTCTCTTTGGTTGATCTCTGCATTTGGAAGAGGTTTTTGTCAGCAAACTAGTGGGAAAAGCATGATTCTCAGCATCTTTCGGTATATTACTTGGAATAAGAAAACAATTATGATAAACGACTGTATTTGAGCAATATTGTTCTTATCAAGAAGTCCAGAATCAGGTTCTGATGCTGCTGAGTCCTGTGCTAGCCATAAGTTCTTGCTCTTGCTGCGCAGCATCTCCAAGGTCCTCATTTTCTGCCTGCACAGTCTCTAAATTGAGCGTCTATCACTATTGGCATTTCTGTGTCTTGATTAATGATTTCTTCATTTTGAGGCAGTGGCATTGAAATGTCATTTGTGGATACAAAATTTTCATCATCAAAACTGGAAGTGTCACTGTCAGTATGGTCTAATGGCTGAGGCATCTTTTCTACAAGAAATGATGTTATTGGCTTTAAACTCTTAACTGCTGCTTCGCTCTTTTGCTTTCACTGTCTTTTACTTGCACCACTTTCAAAATTTCACTTCATTTTTATAAAGGAGTTCTTTTAAAACATGGTAACACACAATAAATTATAAAATAATGGTTTGGAGGTGTTATTTACTGTGTCCCTTATTTCAAAGTCTTGAAATTTCATCTGCTAACATGTCCCCATTATTAAATTCCTCTAGTAACTGGTCTGTTACTATGAATATGAACACAGGGCAATTGCCAGATTAGATATAAAGTTTATTAAACAACTAGAATTAAATATTTATTAGCACAAAAAAGCCTTTAAATCAGTTTTTTGCAGGTATATATAGCTTCCTTTGCTGTCTCTGTTATAATACATTTCCATGTATGACTTGGTGGGAAAATGTCAAAATTTGAGGCCCCTTTGTCTCCTGAGGCCAGGGCCAAATGGCCCTCCTACCCCACCCCCTCTGATAGGGCCTGTGTCTAACTAAAGGTCTAATCCAACCTCCATCCTTTTCCCCACACCAAAGTCAATGGGATTCTTGCAATTATTAAATAGCAATTAGCTCGACACATTAGAAGGTAAACTCTTCAAGTTAGAGGCATGTTTTTATTTATTCTTAAAGTACCTAAACAGATCAATGTGGAAGGATGGAAGAAGACTCCTTCAAGATTATAATATATGACTCATATTTTCTAAATTATAAATTTAATTGATCACATTTTAGTGCTTACCTTTTCTCCTTTAATTCCTGGTTTTCCTGGTATTCCAGGCTCTCCTGGTAAACCCTAGTTAATTAAATAAACAACATTTTACATTGACCTACAGCATCTTTCTGGTCACAGATGAAAAAAAGGCACTAGAGTATATTAGTGACCCAGGTGAGCTCCTCTTACTCATATAAGTGAGAACTTCTATATTTTGTTTAAATGAATATTTACTAACCAAAAATTTCCTTTATGGCCTTCTGAGCAGCACCTTTATAAAAAGATTCTACAGTATTAAGAGATTTTTGAGAATAAAAATCAAAGTAAAACAAAGTCCTGAAAACTAATGGAGTTTATAGGAAAATGGTAACAAATAAAATGATTAGTTTTAAAAGATTAGGTAGCATTGGTATACAATGTGCATGGTGCTGGGCACAACTCACTTGATATTTTATTTAATATTAAAGACTTAAAGAACCAAATTTTAATATTATACATTTGATTAACACCAAATTCCTTTAAAATATTAGTTTTAAATATTCAAAAGATGACCATTAAAAATCTCAGAAAAATAATGACATTCTGACCCTCTTTCAGATGTCTGCTTTAACCTCAAAGCTTTTTTTTCATAATTGCCCTTTCCATCCTAATACTACAAGCAACTAGATATGCAGAGACATGAAAGAATAATAAAATAAATCAATAACCTACTTAAACATGCATAGCTTAAACTGAAAAGATTTTCATTTATTTAATAGAACAATGTTTTCTACATTTGTTCCAAAAGGAAGTATAAGTATCATATGTGCTGATAGTTTACATTACATTTAATCCATGAAGTAGGGTGTGCTTTTCCATTCTGAACCATTTGCATAGCAAATAATCTATCTAGTCAAAGACAGGAATTTCTAGTGTTCATGCCAAACTATTATATGCACATTCAAATGAAAAATTAATTATTGTCTAAAAGATCTGGAAAGGCATATCACTTCGGCTTTGTAGTAGCAAACATTTCATCTTCTTATCAACTGCAGCAGGAAGCATTCAATTGGCTGTGTGTTTTCCTTGCTTGGCTGTATTCTGCCCTAAATGCAAACAACTGTTTGTTCATATTGCCATTTATTTCAAAAGTATATAAAAAAAATCCATGAACTGTAGCTGAGTGAAAAGTATATGAATCAGACTTTCTGCCTTGCTCCACCTCTGTTTAGTGACACAGGGGATTCAATCTGGGACACTCTCCCTGTACAGATAAGCTATCTACCCTGGCAAGCCCTAGTGTATGAGCCATGTGAGAGGTAGAGAGGAAGACAGGCGAGAAGGTGTACTTCTCAGATGGCGAACAATGTTAAAGCAGCACCCACATCTCCATGCACTGAGCAGAAAATCAGGGAACCAAAACTAACTTCATGATAGACCTCCATCCTAATTCTACTGTTGCAAAGCAAGGAGTAGGCAAAAACAGGAACTATGACTCTATATGCCTGTGACAGGGCGCCTGCCCTGCACTGGGCCTTTAAGCCCAAGGCTCAGGCCCGAGCCTGAGGGAAGCTGGAAGACCAGCTGAGATGGTTAGGCTAATGAGCCCAGCTGCCAGCTATAAAAGGAGAGGGCAGGGCTGACTGCAGGGGCAGCAAGAGCTCCAGGGAGGGATACAGCTGCAGGAGAGGGACTGGAGAGGGAAGCTCTCCCTCAGCAGTTGCTTCCCTACCCCAAGAAATCTGCAGTTCAGTGCAGAAATAATTTTTGGAACTGGAGAGTTCCGTCTTGAAATTATATATATTTTAATATGCCAGTTGTTCAAAGACACTGTAGATGAATGTACTGTACAAACCTAATTGGGCATGAAAATTATGTATAAGCTAAGTGTTGGTAACCAATAAGCTAAGTGTTGGTAACCAATTTCAGGTGCCAAAAATTTAATACATGCATAACCAACTACTTGTGTTCAAAGTCACTTGTTTTTCCACACAGAGCTGCACATTTTGTACTTAAATTGCCGATCTGAATATGCCTGCACGTATTCTGTGTGGCCAACACTAATAACAGAATTGACAAATAAGTCTCTATATTGCTTAACAACACATTTTAGCAATAATAATATATTAAGGAGCACAGGACATTTTTTCACCTCGTCTAGTATGTATTTCTATAGCAAGGTGTTATCTGGACATTTGTGAGTTAGACAAAGTAGTGATAAAATATCCGCTTGGTATGTGACAAAACAAAGACTCACAAAGGTCTTGCACAACTCCAAACACCAAGTCAACGGCAGAGCTGGAATTGGCATTTTCAAATCCTATGAGCTAACTACTAAACCACCCCTATAAAAAGACCACACAACGATAGTTCCCATGACACTGTTTCATCATCTAATATTTCACCTCAACAGATTTTACTGACTGTAGAAAATTACACAATACTTACAACTTCTCCTGGCTGTCCTCTGGGTCCAAGTGGTCCTGGAGGCCCTTGCAGTCCCTACAGTGTGTGTATATATATAAATACTCATTAATTTGAGTTAAAAATCAATATATTTGCAATAATATTATACTGAATAAATGGTAAAGCACTCTATCCCCTACAAGGACATATACAAAAGAGCTACTAAGAATTATTTTCTACTTTGCTTAAGGAATAACAGTTACTGCTACTTCATTCTCCACTATCCCCAATAGGATTTGCATAGTTATCATTCCCAATGAAATATATTACAAGCTTCCATATTAAGGGTCTAATTTCTCAAAACATGTCCACGGAGGAGGTCTGCTTTACTGGCTAGAACCTCAATTGTGTGAATCGTGTAGAACTATTGAAGTCAATGGAACTAGGACATTGTACACCAGCTGAGGATCTGGCCTAATATGTCCACAGGAAGAGGATAATAGCTGCTGCTGAAAAGGTTAGGACTATAAGACTCCCAACAAGACCGTGCATGACTGGATAGACCCTAAGCCATTGAATTGGAAAAAAAAGAATAGGGGTTTCTTGCTTGAGGATGCTGTTGAAGGAAGGAATGCTCTGATGGAGGCAGATTTTAGAGTTTATCATTAGTCTGAGGCAATTATGGTTCAGGAGTAAAAGAAGACAGATTCTTCTGAAGAACACTGATTTTTTTATCTGATTTAAGGGACAGGAATAGTCAGAAATAGCCCCAGTAGTTTTGGTCTGGACAAAGCTAGATTTCCCTTTGTGAAAGGAATGCTGTTTATTCTTAGGTTCCTATTTCACTGAAGATTTCCCCACCAAGAAGCTGGGTCTATTCCTCCTTGAGGAAAAGGAGAAAGATGAAGGTTTGTGTTTCCTTAGCTGGGAAGCAGGGGAGGAGAGGAAGATTGTTTTCTCCAAAATATTCATCAATGCAGAATCCATTAAATTTCCAATCAGATGGGGATTCTTAGGGCACATGTACACAGCAGTGTTATTTCAAAATAACAAAGTAAGCATCTACACAGCAAGCCAGCTATTTCAAAATAATTTTGAAATAATGGGTGTCTTATTCCGAATTCTGTAACCCTCATTTTAGGAGGAATAACACCTATTTTGAAATAGTTATTTTGAAATAGGGTGTGTGTAGACGGGGCAGCTGGAGTTATTTCAAAATAAATGGCCTCCAGGGCTTCCCACAGGTGCCCTGGTGGCCACTTTGTCCACACGCATCAGAACTCTATAGTTCCCCTTCCCTTGCAGATCTTAAAGCCACAGACTCGGGTAACAGTTTGCAGCATGATGCAAGCTGTGCTAGCACCGTGCCACACAGCAACACCTAGCTCTGATTCCCTGCTACCATAGCAGACACAAGCATGCCACCTGAGTCCCTCATGGTTGCAAGCACAGCTGCAGGCAGATCCCAAGCCCCTGCCTGTGTGTGGAGGAGGCAGGCCCATCCTGGTCTGGTGCAGAGATCCTGGATCTCATTGAGATCTGGGAATGAGACTAACCTCCAGAATCTCTGCACTAGGCACAGAAATGCTAAGATCACAGCGGATGGCTGATAGCCTAGGCCAGAAGGGACACATGCGCAACCAGGAACAGGTGCACGTGAAAGTCAAGGAGCTCAAGCAGGCCTATACAAAGGCCAGGGAGTGCAGCTCTCACTCAGGGGTGCACCCCAGACCTGGCCCTACTTTGACCAGCTCCATTGCATCCGGGCGGGGGGGGCGAAGGTATGTCCCTTCCTAAAAGAAAACAACCCCTTCCACTTTGTCCACACGCATCAGAACTCTATAGTTCCCCTTCCCTTGCAGATCTTAAAGCCACAGACTCGGGTAACAGTTTGCAGCATGATGCAAGCCATGCTAGCACCGTGCCACACAGCAACACCTAGCTCTGATTCCCTGCTACCATAGCAGACACAAGCATGCCACCTGAGTCCCTCATGGTTGCAAGCACAGCTGCAGGCAGATCCCAAGCCCCTGCCTGTGTGTGGAGGAGGCAGGCCCATCCTGGTCTGGTGCAGAGATCCTGGATCTCATTGAGATCTGGGAAGATGAGACTAACCTCCAGAATCTCTGCACTAGGCACAGGAATGCTAAGATCACAGCGGATGGCTGATAGCCTAGGCCAGAAGGGACACATGCGCAACCAGGAACAGGTGCACGTGAAAGTCAAGGAGCTCAAGCAGGCCTATACAAAGGCCAGGGAGTGCAGCTCTCACTCAGGGGTGCACCCCAGACCTGGCCCTACTTTGACCAGCTCCATTGCATCCGGGCGGGGGGGGCGAAGGTATGTCCCTTCCTCCGCTCCCAGTTGTGGACTCTGTGCTGGAGATGGCTATTGTCACCCTCCTGGAGGGCAGGCCTGGGGCAGAGAAAGAGGAGGAGGAGGAGGAGGAGGAGGAGGAGCAGGCCAGTGCATCCACAACGCCTACCAGCCAGGAGCTCATTCAGTCCCAGTGCCATCCTCCTAGGATGTCGCCCATGGATCGGACGAAGCCAGGGAAGGGCCATCAGGTGAATTCCATTACTTGCCTTTGACACACATGGGGGGAGGGGTGTTGGGTGGCGAGGGGCTGCGTGCTCCTCACTCCTTGCTCAGCCTGGGGATCATGAAGTAGCCTGTGCACGTGGGTTTGTGGAGCGCCAGTCCAGAGCTGACGGCCTCATTGAGACTGCCTCAGAGGACTCCTGTGCTCCTGCACACAGAGTTTCTGGAGAGGCCTCCTTTACTCCCGACTCCGTGGTGAGACACCTTCCTACCACAAGCCATTACTAAGGAGGATGGGATTAGGGATACATACACATACACACAGCAGTGCCATGCACGGCACACAGGCATGCCCACTCTCGGGTCACCGTGCTCTCCCGGGCAGGCAAAGCGAGGCAGAGGACACTGAGCCCCTGCTAACAGATCCTGCTGGGCGGAGACCCCATTAGCACCCTTCCCGGCAAGCGGCATCTGCCGCTCGGTCACACCTCCCCGAATACCCTCCCCCCTCTTCTCCAGCAGGAAGGGACAGAAGTCTTCTTATTCTGGGATGCTGCCATTGCTGGACCGGGTGTGTACGTGGCACAGAGGGAAGTCGAGCTACCCCATCGCCCCACAGGCTCCTGGCCCGGCCAGCACCTTCCCATGCCTGCTTGTCCCCAGGACATGGGGGTAGTGAGGCTCCCCCACCCCTCCCGGGGACATCTGTGCCCCTGCTGTAAGAGACCCACTGTATAGGCCACAGATAGCCTTGCTCCAAGCACATCACCTTTGTCTTTGTTCTTCACAGCTAGAACAGCTGCGAGTGAGGCTCCAGCAGCACCTCCTGACCCCTTTGGAGCTGCCACCACAGACAAGCCTGTGAGGAACTGGAGTGGGAACATGTCGCCTTCCTGTGTGGCCTCCAGCGATCTCTGGAGCAGCAGGACCAGCAGAGGGAAGCAGACCAGGAGCTGCTCCTCATCACGCGGTCTGAGCCGGCACAAGAGACCCACAGCACGTGTGCAGCATACACGACCGCCATTGACCACCTGGTTGCTGCCACTGAGCAGCTGAGCAGCCTCCCTCCCACTCCTGCTCCCTTTCCCATTTCTGCTCGCTTCTCGCCTTAGGCCCCCCATGTCCACCAAGGGCCCCGCACACGAGGCGGTGGGACCACCCAAGACAGGTGCCACTCTCAACCCCATACCTGAGCCTCTCCTTCCCCTTTATTCCCCTTTTTCTCCCCTCCTAGGTGTTTTACCCAGTCCCTCCCCAGTTACAATTACCCCCAATTAAACAAAAAATAGAATTGCTTGCTTCAGAACAAAGGTCTGGTTTATTTTATCAACAGGAGAGTAGAGAGGGGAAGGTACAGTGGGAAGGGAGGGCAGGGGAAGGGGAAGGTGTGGGAGGAAAGGCACAGAGGAACAATGCACAGGTCCCTGTGGGGAGGCCTAGGGGAGAGTCTCACAGGTGTCCTTATCTGAAACTCTCCCTCAGGGCCTCCCGGGTGCGCACAGTAGCTTGATGGGCCTGCAGGATAGTAGCCGTGTATGGCTGCACAAAAGCTCTTAGCTTGATGGGCCTGTAGGATGGTAGCCGTGTATGGCTGCACAAAAGCTCTGGCAAGCCTCTTGGCCTTGGCCCCCACCCTGACAGGAACCTCTCCCCCTTATTCTCACAAATATTGTCCTAGACAGAGCATGATGTCATCACTTGGGGGACATTCTGCTCACCCAGGTCCAGGCAAGTGTGGAGACAGCAGAACCTCCCTTTGAGATGCCCAAAGGCACTCTCCACCACAATGTGGGCCCTGCTGAGGCTGGCGTTAAACCATTCTTTGCTTTGGTCAAGATGTCTGGTGTAGGGCTTCATAAGCCAGAGGAGCAGAGGGTAGGCAGTGTCCCCCACGATGCACATCGGCATGTCCACATCCTCAACCCTGATGGTGCAGTTGGGTAAAGAAGTGCCGGCATGCATCTTCTAGAAGAGTCCGGAGTACCTGAAGATGTGGGCATCATGCACCTTCCCTGACCACCCAACATTGATGTCCATGAATCAGCTGCGGTGGTTCATATGGTCTGCAGGATCATGGAAGAGTATCCCTTCTGGTTAAATGTCCGGTGTTTGGGGGTTTGGATGGGGAGGTGAGTGCGATCAATGCTCCCTTCCCACAGTTGGCGAAACCCATGGCGGCAAAGCCAGTGACGATGGGGTCCAAAATGCCCAGGATGGTGAGTCAGTGCAGCAGGCTGGTGTCGATGGCCTCATCATCTGTAGAAGGAGACAAATGGAATCACAGGGCTGCCAAACCCCTCAGGAGCTCCCCGAGTCCAGCTTCTCCTCTCCCACGCATTAGTCCCAACCCAACTTCCCCCATCCCACAGCAGGGCTTTGTGAAGGTGGGACTGGAAAACCTCAAAGGAAGGGAACCCCATTCCAGCAGTTCATCACCCTCCCAATAACATAGTAAGAGTATAACATACCTGCAAGACCACGACCACAATGGTTCCTGACAGAATGGTAGCTGTCTGGCATGGCGAGCTTCCACAGACCAATGGTGACCACTTCTGGAGGGGGATGGCGGGTCGTATGTGGGTGTCCCGTTGCCTGAGGGCAAAGGTGAACCACTTGCAGAACTGCATGAAGGTTTCCAGCATGTGGAAATTCTGAAGCCACTGCTGGTCATCTCACCAGTCCATGATGATCCGGTCCCATCAGTCGGAACTGGTGTCCAGTCACCAGAAACGGCGGTGCATGATGCACAGGAAAAGGTGGGAGAGGCTGTGCTGCCTGAGCAGCATGTGGAGAGAGATGAGGAGTTGTCCCGTAAGGATCTCTGGGTCCAGATTCTGCAGTGCCATGAGAGCAGCCTGCAAAAACTGCACCAGAAGGTGCATCAAGAGGTCCAGGAGCTGGAGACTGCTTTGTAGCAGGTCTGGCTTCATTGGCAAAAGTGCTGTGGTGTCCACAAGGACAACCAGAGCAGTAGGTTAAAGGGCTTTGCTGTCCCTTAAGAAGGAAGGCAAAAGAGAGGAGCCTGAGTCACAACTGAAGCATGAGCCTCAGGAAGCAGTTACAGGAAGTGACTGCTGTCCTGATGCCCTGGCCAAAGTGCTTCTGGAGGGGCTTTAAATGCAATTGAAGTGCCAATCAGTGTAGATGCTTTATTTCTAAATAGCTCAGCACTATTTTGATGAGCATTTGTAGTGTAGATGCGCTATTTCGAAATAAGCGGTTTTGGAGTTTTTATTCCAAAATAGCTTATTTCAAAATAGCGTTGCTGTGTGTAGACATACCTCAAAGATCAAGGGCAAGGAGACATAACTCAAAGACAGTCACACCTCATGACCAGGTTCAGAAGTGTTAAAAAGATGGGTCTGCGAGTGAACAGAATACTGAGCCATGTTGAGAATATTTGACTGGGCAACGTGAGAGGTTCCTGGGTACCAGGAAAGGTAGCTTGGAGAAAACAGCATTGATCCTCTGTGAAGCACAGAGGGCAAGAGGCCCAGAAAGTGGTTTGGATGTTTCCCAGTTTAAAAGATTATTTTCATAGCTTCTTTCCAGGGGTTCATGAGAGAACACATTGGCCTCCAGAGTTAGCTATCAGGCCTTAGACTGGGAAATTATGTCTAAGTCAGTGTTTCTCAAAGTGGTTCATCTTTCACTCTGAGAAAGATGCTACCGGGCCTTCCAGTTTGTTTACTTACCGGCTCTGCAGCCTCAGAGCCTCACTGCTTCCATTGACTGCAGTTCACCGTTTGCAGCCAAGGGGAGCTGCAGGATGCAGTGGCCCCGGTCACGCCACTTCCTGTGGCTCCTCTTGGCTGCAAATGGAGAACTAAAGCCACTGGAAGTCATGAGGCTGCAGAGCCGGTAAGTAAACAAACTGGAAGGCCCGGTAGCATCTTTCTCAGAGTGAAAGATGAACCACTTTGAGAAACACTGGACTAAGTCCATGATTGATTGGGGCAACCAGAGGTTATGAAAATCAAAATACAAACTGTAGAGTCTGAGAACACCTTCTGAGGCAGAGTGGGTGCAGAATCAAAAAAGGCAAGAAACAGAAAAGGCCTTATTCATTCAGGCTATGGTTTCTTCCTGAATGCCTTAAGATGAGGATGGCCACAAATTCAGAACCACTTCTGTCCCTGCTTGGGCTTGGCTGTGGTGCAAGCATGCTCTGCATGGCTCATAAGTGAGCTTGGAAAGATGGATGGAATGGGCCCACTGACAAAGGTAGCACAGGAAAGGCACAGGATAGGTATATTTGGCTTTAAGAAGAAGATTCCATTTTACCTCCAATTCTATTTAATTACAGAGTTCAGCTGAGGCCTCTAGGAAAGATGGTTCCTCAGTGAAGAGGCACAAGCTATTTCTAATGAGGCAAGAGAAGAGCTAGAGAACCCTGCCTGCATTCTGTGAGGAAGGGGAATAGTGCTGAATCTACTCTGACTTCCACCTGGCTGGCTGACAGATGATGACTTACTAATTAGCCTGTATTGGACATAGCCTCAATACAAAATGAGTAATTGCACACAAAAATAGCCAAAGTACAAAAACAGCAGTGGTCCTAAAAGTTCCTCGCATCATTTTTCTCCAGTGCATGATACTGAAATTAATCACAACTTTACTAAGTAAAAGTAGAATAACTATATTCTGCCTTATCTTGTGTAACTTTCCCACTGACATCAACCCTGCCATATGCTGAGGATTGAATATGGCTCTAACTGTGTATCATCTGCAAATGACCTCCAGAGGTCATTGAGTCCAATTCCCTTCAATCATAGCAAGACCAAGCACTGTTCCTGACAAATGTCTGTATAACCTGCTCTTAAAAATCTCCAATGATAGAGAGTCCACACCTCCCTAGGCAATTTATTCTAGAGGGGTATGTCTACACTACCCTCCTAATTCGAACTAGGAGGGTAATGTAGGCATACCACACTTGCAAATGAAGCCCGGGATTTGAATTTCCCGGGCTTCATTTGCATAAGCCGGGCGCAGCCATTTTAAAATCCCGGCTAGTTCGACCCCCGTGCTGCGCGGCTACACGCGGCACGGAGTAGCTAGTTCGGATTAGGCTTCCTAATCCGAACTAGCTGTACTCCTCATTCCACGAGGAATAGTTCGAACTAGTGGGGTAGCGTAGACATACCCAAAGAGAGGGCTCTTCTGGGCATGTTGAGAGAGGGGCTCAGCAGTCTGGGGCTCTCTGTTTTTGGGAGAGAGAAACCAGCCTACTGTGGAGGTGCCTTATATCCAGTCCAGGAGCTGTTGTGTTGCAGCTATAGCCTGGGACTGAGAGCCTATGGTGCTTGGATCTAGCAGGCTACTTCAGGGGCTGTTGATTGCCCTAGAGGGGAGAGACTGCCACTCTTGCTACAATTTAATCCTATTGCTTCTTGTCTTGTCCTTAGAGGTGAAGGAAAATATTTCTCTCTTTCCTTGCAAAACCCTTTTAGATATTTAAAAACTCTTATCATGTTCCCTTTCAGTTTTCTCTCTTCCAGACTAAACAAAGCCAGTTCTTTCAAATTTCCCTCATAGGTTTTGTTTTCTAGTCCTTTTATCATTTTGTTGCTCTTCTCTGGACCTTCTCCAATTTCTCCACACCTTTTCTGAAATGTGGTGTTCTGAACTGGACACAATAATCCAGACCTAATCAGTGCAGAGTAGATGGGAAGAATTACTTTTCATGTCTTATTTACAACACTCCAGCTAATGCATCCCAGAATGATGTTTGCTATTTTTTAGCACCCTTCATAGAATACAATTGATCTCCTACATAAACAGTGGCATCAGAATAGCCTCTTTTTGGTTATGGAGGCCATATTTTTAAAAATGTAATTCCCCAAAAGCACATTCAGACTTTTGCATACACATGTATTTTGAGCACAAGTTACCCATTCTGCACTTACAACCCAGCTTTTATGTACACAAGAACTATAGGCATGCAACTAAAGTACAGGCAGTCCCCGAGTTACGCGGATCCGACTTATGTTGGATCCGCAGTTACGAACGGGGTTTTTCTCGCCCCGGAGGAATGGAGCGGCGGGACGCCCAGATGCGCCGCGGTCCCGCCACGGAGTTTTTATTCCAAAATAGCTTATTTCAAAATAGCATGTCTCACACAGTAAAAATAATTGGGCTATACCATCTAAAATGAATGGAGACCAGCAGACCAGGGAGATGGGGAGCAAAGCCGCGGAGCACGTGGGCAGCGGGACAGCCCAGATGCGCCGAGGCTATCCCGCTGCCCGCGTGCTCTGTGTCTTTGCTCCGCATCTCCCTGGTCTGCTGGAGATTGAACTTAAGAACAAACCTACAGTCCCTATCTTGTACGTAACCCGGGGACTGCTTGTACACACAGTAAAAATAATTGGGCTATACCATCTAAAATGAATGGAGACCAGCAGACCAGGGAGATGGGGAGCAAAGCCGCGGAGCACGTGGGCAGCGGGACAGCCCAGATGCGCCGAGGCTATCCCGCTGCCCGCGTGCTCTGTGTCTTTGCTCCGCATCTCCCTGGTCTGCTGGAGATTGAACTTAAGAACAAACCTACAGTCCCTATCTTGTACGTAACCCGGGGACTGCTTGTACACACAGTAAAAATAATTGGGCTATACCATCTAAAATGAATGGAGACCAGCAGACCAGGGAGATGGGGAGCAAAGCCGCGGAGCACGTGGGCAGCGGGACAGCCCAGATGCGCCGAGGCTATCCCGCTGCCCGCGTGCTCTGTGTCTTTGCTCCGCATCTCCCTGGTCTGCTGGAGATTGAACTTAAGAACAAACCTACAGTCCCTATCTTGTACGTAACCCGGGGACTGCTTGTACACACAGTAAAAATAATTGGGCTATACCATCTAAAATGAATGGAGACCAGCAGACCAGGGAGATGGGGAGCAAAGCCGCGGAGCACGTGGGCAGCGGGACAGCCCAGATGCGCCGAGGCTATCCCGCTGCCCGCGTGCTCTGTGTCTTTGCTCCGCATCTCCCTGGTCTGCTGGAGATTGAACTTAAGAACAAACCTACAGTCCCTATCTTGTACGTAACCCGGGGACTGCTTGTACACACAGTAAAAATAATTGGGCTATACCATCTAAAATGAATGGAGACCAGCAGACCAGGGAGATGGGGAGCAAAGCCGCGGAGCACGTGGGCAGCGGGACAGCCCAGATGCGCCGAGGCTATCCCGCTGCCCGCGTGCTCTGTGTCTTTGCTCCGCATCTCCCTGGTCTGCTGGAGATTGAACTTAAGAACAAACCTACAGTCCCTATCTTGTACGTAACCCGGGGACTGCTTGTACACACAGTAAAAATAATTGGGCTATACCATCTAAAATGAATGAAATAGCATCCAAAGTCCTTTTACACAAAGGGCATAATAATAATCCTCTTTCAATTTTATAATAAAGACTTTTGCATACCTCTGGTCCTGGATTTCCAGTGAGTCCAGGAGGACCAAGATCTCCTTTTTCACCCTAAAAAGCATTTTTTTCAAATAATTTAATGTTACATCCACAAGAGACAGCTGTGTACAAAATAGATACTGTGGATACCAATCAGAAATATACCTTAATTCCTTGTGATCCTTTCATTCCAATTTCCCCCTGAAAATAACAGATATAATGACAATAAGATTGACTATGTTGAAGTTACTACACACAAAAACATTGTCATATCAATTTGATTAACATGATGTAGCAAAAAATTAATATCTGACCATTATTTAAAGAGTTGTCCATGCAACATGGAAAACTTTGGAAAGGACTGATTTTTGAAAGATTCTATTTTCACTTCGGGGTATGGTAATTTCTCATGTTTTATTTTTGATACAGGCAGTCCCCTGGTTACGTACAAGATAGGGACTGTAGGTTTGTTCTTAAGTTGAATTTGTATGTAAGGGTACGTCTAGACTACAGGCTTTTGTCGACAGAAGTTTTGTACAGAAGCTGCTTTGTCGACAAAACCCTGTAGTCTAGATACAACCCTACATGCAATAACACCTTTTGTCGACAGAACTCTGTCGACAGAAGGCATTATGCCTCGTAAAATGAGGTTTACCAGAGTCGACAAAACTGCTGAGTTCTGTCGACGTTATGTCGACAGAACTCAGTGGTAGTGTAGACGCAGGTATAGTTTTGTCGACAAAAGTCCACTTTTGTCGACAAAACTCTGTAGTCTAGACACACCCTAAGTTGGAACTGGCGTCCAGATTCAGTCGCTGTTGAAACTGACCAGCAGCGGCTGAATCGGACACGCCTGGGGCA